AAAGCAATGAAACAGTATCCTCAGGGGGGGACTTAAAAAAGAGTGGTGAAAGCAGACATCCCTGTCTTGTTCTGATCTTAAGGAAAATTTTTGTAGTTTTTGCACATTGAGTATGATGTTGGCTGTGGATTTATCACACATGGCCTCTATTATGTTATGGTATGTTCCCTCCATTCCCACTTTGCTGAGAGTTTTTATCATAAATGGGTGCTGGATTTTAACAAATGCTTTTTCTTCATCTACTGATGTGATCCTGTGGTTTTTATTCTTCATCTTGATTGTGTGGTGTGTCATGTTTAATGATTTGTGGATATTGTACCAACCTTGCATCCTGGAAAAATCTTGATCATGGTGTATGATCTTTTTAATGTACTGTTGGATCCTGTTTGCTAATATTTTGTTGAGAACTGGAAAACAACAGTTTCAAATGTTTTATCTCCAACATGATAATTAAACTGTTTGATCTGACTTTTATGGCCATCAGTCAATTTTTGTAATTATCAGTATCCATAATGATTTTATGGATATTTTTATTTAAATATAATCAAAACCTCAGATTATTTCAACCTAGCACATCAAGTGTGACAAGAGGGGAAAAATGCCCATCACAGCACAGAACTCTACCTAACACAGCATTCTTAATCAGAAGCTTAGTCAGCTTTAGATGTACTTTATACCTAAGATACAGAGTAGATTCTTTACATCAACCAGGTAAAAAAATAAATTAAAAAATCACCTCATGTTTTCTTTAACCAGTTAGAATGGCCCTAGGAACAGAATAATAGCAGGTATGAAATGACAGAAAAGTTTAGACAATGCCTTCCTATTTGAACCATTATTTAGAGATCCTTCAAGTGTTCACAGAAAGATCTCAACTTAGCTTTATATTTATAAAATGTTGTATTACTTCAGATCAAGTCACTAGTTCAGACTTAGTAGGAAGAAAAGCACCACCTCCCAAGCAGCAGTATCAATGTCTATACTGAGCGAATCCCACTCATAAGACTCACAATCCACTTACTCGCTACGCTGGATTCATTTCTGCTCTGACCCTTAGATCATTCACTAGACAGATATTGACTATGATTTAGAATACACATGTTATTTAGGTGTTAGGCAGCTGTACTGGACAATAGTGAAGAACAAAACTGAAAACCCTGCTCTCAAATTCTAGCACAGACAAGTACAGCAGGTCCTCGAATAATGCCATTTCGTTTTAACATTGATGAGATGCTATAGTACTTAACTCTTGTTTATATCAACTAGCCTATGGTAAAACTGGTTTCCTTATATGTCATTTCACTTAAAGTTGCAGAACCTATCAAAGATGTTAAGTGAGAACTTACTGTATAAATGTTAGTAAGATAATTTCAGGTAATGATAAATGTTACAAAGGCTATAAAATAAGAGATGTATTAGATAGTGACTTGATGGGAGAAGAAAACTTCATTAGATGAGATAGGAAAGGAGGTGATACACGAGCTAGACTTTGAATAAGGCATGGTCAGTCACACAATGTTCTGGGGGAAAAATGCTGCAGGCAGAGGGAATAGCAAAAGTAAAACAATGAGTTTGGGGTGTCTGACAAAAAGAAAGAGGGCTAGTTTGGCCATAGCACACTGACTGAGGGGGAGAATGGACAATGAGGTTGGAAGAGGCCAGATTATATGGGGCCTCAGAGGCTATGGCAAAATCTGAATTTGATTTGAGAAATAGTGGAAAGCCACTAAAGGGCTTAAACAAGAGAGTGGCATGACCTGATTTCAGTTTAAAAAAAAACAAATCTCTGGTAGCTCTGCCGAGCATGGGCTGCAGCAGAGCAAGAGTGACAGTAAGGAGATCAATAGAACTGATCAACTGAAAGTCTATGTGAGAGATGCTGAGGGTTTGGGCTAGGGTGTGATGGGAACTGAGAATAACCAGATTCAGGGTACATTTCAGAGGTGAACTGACATGTCTTCCTGATGAATTAGATGTGGCTGGTAGGGGAGTGAGGGCAAAACAGGGAAATCAAAGATTTACTCCTATGGTGGGACTTGAGCAACCAGATGGACAATGGTGCCATTAACTGACATGGGGAATACAAGGGGAGAAAGAGATTTGGAGTGGAGAGTACAGTGGGGGCATTGGAAGGTTCTGTTTTGGGCCTGCTAGTATTGAGGATCTAACAGTGGTATAAGGTGGGATGTAAACAGCATATAGATGGGATATAAAGGCCACAGGACAGGATAAGATCACTTGGAGAGAAACTAAAGGTAGAGCCCTGGGACATGCCAACATCAAGCAGGTGAGAAGAGGAAGAAAAGCCTGCAGAAGAGCTGAGAGGGAGGATCCACTGAGTAGGAGAATATTCAGGAGAGTGTGGGATCACAGAAATGTAAAGAAACTGCATTAAGAAGAATTAATCAACTGTGTTAAATGCTGCTAGAAGACTGGAAAAGGAAAGAAAACTCACAACTGGATTTAGCAAGATAAAGTATAATTTTAAGAAAAGGCATTTAGTTTTCATTAAGCTATCACTTTTAAAGCTAAAAAATTTTTAAAGAAACAGTCTCAGCAAAATTCCTGAGGTAAACTGATGGAGCAGGCTAAGTACATTTTGACTTCTCAGAGGAGGAGGGGAGCAGTGAGTCAGTAAGGCGTCCTTCTGAGCTTTCCACCCTCATTCCCTGGAGAGGGGAGGGGAACCTTCCTTGGCAGTAGTGTGGTAGGATTCAAAATGTACATGGACAGAGATACAGCTCAGCCCAAAAGAGACTAAAAGTTTACTTGCCCCACTTGACTGTGATTCATCAAAGTCCTAACAGTCTCCTTTCTAATCCAACTCTAAGCTAAAACTTTCTTTAGCTAACCCAAGGGCCCAAGCGACAGTAAAAAAACTGCCAACAGAAGGAGGAGACACATCTATGCCCTTGGTGGGGAGCATTCTTCTGATACAACATTTTTGTTTCCAAGGCTTCTCCTGTTTCACTATCAGCTCCAGCCTGCATCTCACCCTGGTGGTATCACTGAGGACAAAACTAAGAAAAGTCATCTGAGGCCCACCCACACCTGTGCCACTTGTCTTTGTGTCTCCTCCTCACTTCCCGCCCCTTACCTGAGTCATTTTGTCCACAGAGACTGGAATTCCGTCGATGGTGAGAGGCGGCAGCTCTGAGTTAACCTCCTGTGGCACAGGGGCGTGTTCTGCTAAGGCGGACTCCAGGTCTTCCAGGATCATGCTCTTGTACTTACGCACCTGCAGGGAATTAAGGGCAGAAGTAAACAAGATGCCCAACAACCAGGGAGGGTTGGTGCCAAGCAACCAGCAAGTGGGTGGGGTTGGCCTCCCTCAGCCATTACAGAGCCCTAAGAACAAACACTTCTACAACTAGCAGATAAAAATACCCAATGGCCCCAAAGACATCACACTGTACAGAATTAAATGAAAAGATGACGAAATTACAGGTAACAACAGTAGAAAGGAATCAATGAAAAAGCTTTACAGAAATACTGCTTCTCAGTTAAGATCATGTTTCCTGTAAATGCTAGCTCCATCCCCTGTTCCAGATCTAATAGAAATGGCATTCATTATATGGCATTTCCCAGGCTATTTGACAAAACCTAGCTGTGACAGTTAAATGTTAAAATCATTGTCAAGATCACCAAAAACTTGTCTCTAAAACTTCTGTTACTTTCCTGCAAAGCCAGACTACCAAACAGATTGGAGATTCAAATGCACAAGAAGCTGGACTGAAAGGCATCAGAGAGAAAAACAAGCAGTGAATATTGTAGCTGGGTGTCAAAGGTACCACTATTTAGTAAGGCCAAGGGCCAGAGAGAGCCCCTCAGGTCAGGTAACCTTTCTGGTACTTCCTGGTGACAGAGGTGAACTTCAAACCCATGATGTCTTTGTGGCTCTGACAAGCACAGGCCTGAACCAGATATTGTTCTGAGTCCATTCCTCCCACTGCTAGTGAAAGGTCTCTCAAAAGACAGAGAACTTAACAGCAGCACATTTGTACATGCACACATTCTTCTGTCACGAGCAGTAATGGTAGAGAGACACCGGATCCTACAACCAACAATAATAGGTTCATTCACTTAAAAGAATGCACAAGGGGGATGAGAAAGCCTTTGGGGATAACCAAGAAGCCATGGAATTATGAAAATGTGACAACATGGGATAGAAAATTAACTTGCATTCAGGTCTCAAGCTATTAACTTATGAAAAAAAAGGAAGAGAAAATGAAGTTTGCCCAGAAGTTAGAACAATGTTTGAGTCCTGGGTTTCTGCTAAGTGGACTGGACTCTCAATCAGGACACATTTCCTTGTAAGTATTTCATTATCAGGATTAAAAAACAAAGATTCGCATACTCCACCTCAAGTATGCGGAAAAGTAAAAATTACTGTTGGCCACAAAGTACAACTTTTGCAGTTATGGAACTTAACAAACAAGTCAACAAGAAAATGGATAAAAGAAAATAGTGCAAACATGTACACTCATTATCACTCTAGAAATTCAGTTTCATCCTAGTTTCTAATGAAAAAAAAAAGTTGCAATAATTTTACCAACTTATTTATTGTAATATAAGCAGCTGGTGTTGCCATGGCAACTTTAAGGATTTACATTTTCTGCTTTCTAGGTTTCTTTATCCCATATAGAGTTTTTATACTACCAACACACAGAAAAACAGAATCTATAAACCTAGGTTCTGGTCTTTGAGTTTTAATGTATCATTATATTAGTAGTAGGCCCATACAGTAAGAGTTAATGATAATAGTAGAAAAATAAACTTCACTGTGCTGGAAACACCTAGCATTTGAAGATAGGAAATCATTAGATTTCTATATAGCTAGTTTCAAACAATTTCATCCATTTTTAAGGGTCAGTAAAGTCTAGGAATTCATATCCAGGCATTTAGCTAAACTTATCAGTACTACAATTGCTTAAAAATACCTTGAATTTTTTTTTTTTTTAAAGGTGGTAGGGCCTCCCTCAAAGTAATTTACAACAAAACTTCAGGTATGACCACAGTATTTTTTAATTAAAAACCAGTTTTAAAATAAGCTTTCACATTTCATGTAAGTTGAAGCCATTTTTAAAAACCTATATAAATAAGTGACTGACTTAGAACAAGAAATTATGACCAACCTCAGAGACCACTCATCTACTGGGAAGATGAAATTTAAAAAGGCAGAAGGATGATTTCTAGAGGTTGGTAATAACTCCAGAGCTACTACCTCTTTACTTCTGTTACGGTGACTAACTCTTGTACCCGTAGAACTGGTTAGTCGTATCCAGTGTATGCTCATCTAAATGCTATGAATGACTGACTAAGGAGCAAGCTCCACTTTCAGAAACTCCCATGGTTCTTCGGGG